GTGGATCAGTTAAAGTTCAGAGTGATGAATTATAATATGCAGTATGTATACTCTTAGTGACTCTGTCTCAGCTTTGGCCTGCAAATGTAACATTTGAAACGACTTAGTTTGCTATGCATGTATGTCATATCACTTTTGCTTAATTTTTTGGGATAAGTTTACTGTAATCTATTGTTTTCAGGCAAATAAATTGAACTGAAAAACAACCACTTATTTGCCGCCTGCCAAATAATTTTTGAAAATCTGGTGTGTTGTATAAGCACGGTTGGATGCAGTGTGGATGCTACTGATCAAAGAAAGAAATTACATGCTCTTCTGGGAACGTATAAGATCTCATGGCTGCAATGTTGCAAGAAGCATCAGGGTTCCTTTTAAAAGGGAAACCTAAAGAGTATGGAAATAATTTGGAAAAAATAACGTAAAGCATGAGAAGCACATGTGTTTCTTTGTACTTTGTAAAAAAGCACTTTGTAGCTCTTTAAAGCAGCTATATCTTTTCCTGAGGTTGTACAGCTACTCTCTGCATGAGTTTCCTTCTGCAAGACATAGCCTCACGATCCCCCTTATTTCTTACTCATTTGAATTTTATAAATGGAGCCACATTTTATTCAGACTTGGGAACTGTGGTTTGTTAACATTATAACAGTGAGATCTTCTTAGGATCAAGGTATGATTCCAGGGATTGATTTTGATCAGCCTGCAGTTCTCTGAATTTGAACATGACAAGGATTGATAGTTAATGGAGCAACAGGGCTGAGCCTGAAGGATAAAAGTATAGATGTCTCAAAGCTTCTCTCCCAGGAGTTACACTCCTAATTCTGCCTCCTGCCTTGGTTAATGGCTTGGTAGTTACCACTTCATAACAAATATGCCTTTTTATTTTGCTTCAACTCAGTCTTGATTCCTGATGACCACAGAAAAGTCCATGCAATTTTCTAGGCAGCATTTTTGTAAGTGGGTGGCTATTGCCTTCTTCCTAGGGTTGAGAGAAAGTGACTGGTCTACAGTCATCCATGGCTTCTATGCCTAAGGTAGGACTAGAACTTAGGTTTCCCTGCTCCTAATCCAGCATTTTCATCACTAGAACAAACTGGCTGTCCTATGTGCTTTACTAGCAAATAAAATGAAAAAAAATATCAAAATTAAAAGCACACTGTAGCACCCCCTCATATGGAGTGTTGGGGTGTGCAATTAGCGGAATCAACCTTTTCTCCTTTGAGAGAGAGCTCAACCTCACAATGTATGAGAATCCAACTTTATTGAAAAGAAAAAGAGAGCATACTGTAAAATATCCTTTTAGCTTTAAGTAGTCACATAGAAAACATTTAGAGACCACGGATATAACATGCAAAGTTGCTCAAATCACAGGATAATTCTGGGTGGATGCTAAATGGTATTGATCTGCCTCTAATTTAGAGGAATAGTACTCTGAAGAGGTTTCAAATGGCATAAAAACACACAATTTACTGAGCACGTACAAGGGTAACTTTACTTCACAAAAGGGCTGCCATTTTGAATATAAAATGGAGATTTTCCTGTAAGTCACTTTGGGCTCTTAGAGAAAGATTGGAGATGAAAGCATAATAAACAAGACCTTTCATATTTTAGCAGGGTGACTGTGGGTCACATGCTGACAAAGAACATCTCCAGCTTAAATCATATTTGAAAAGCAATTGTATTTGAAATATTGAAAACGTCCCTCCTTTGACCTTTCTATGCTATATAATACAATTAAGAATCTTCTTCAGTAGGGAGTCACCACACGGCATCTATGAACTTGGTGGTAAGTTGCCATTTAAATTAGTCCTACAAGTATGCTGGCAGAGTTGCTCTTTTAAATTTTTTATGAGCCTTCTATAATTGCATCGAGAGGAAAGTTTATAAAAAGTTTTAAAAATGCCAGGATTGATAAAAGTAGTCACGGATGTTGAAAGGTAATCAATGCAAAGCCCGGCAATGAAGGCTGAAGGAAGCTAAATCAATCTGAGAAACTAGCCCAGCTGACAAAAGAAACTTCTATGCTCTGCATCTGAAGTAAAAGGGGAAAAAAATTGTGACCACAGCAGTGTAGAGTTGCTTTAAAATGTTAAGGCTCTTATTGAGCTGCCCTTGTTAAAAATAAAACTATAGCCTTAGTCATTCCACCACTAAACTAAACTTCTAACACAATTATAATGCCATAGGTAAATCAAAGATTTGGGGGGGGGGCTGTTCTCACCAGTCTTCCCCCCCCCCCCTTCCTTTATTTCCTCCCTTTTTCCTTCATTGGATTTGCCTCCACAGAATATAGACGTATTCCAGTGCCAGTTTGAGAGTCTGGTGGATTCAATAATCAGATTTGCTCCAGATTGCCAAAGTACTGGACTCAGGAGCACAGGATTTTACACTTTTTTCAAAACCTTGAACTAAACCTTGATTTCATTACTGTGCTCCAGGAAGGAAACTAGTTTCATTTCACCCCAGAAGGTCTTTCCATGTGGAGCCCTTGGGGTTCTCTGAGCTTGGTTCTTTTCTTGCAAACGTTTCATTACCCAGCTAGGTAACAAACATCTTCAGTGCTAAAATGGGATGGGGTTTGCTCTCTATTTATGTGGTGTGGCCTGCCTTGCCAGTGCTGGTAAGGGTTAGCACTGAAGATGTTACCTAGCCGGGTAATGAAACATTTGCAAGAAAAGAACCAAGCTCAGAGAACCCCAAGGACGCCACAGTTCAACCCTGAGCTACACATATTCACCTCTGTAGGTCTTTCCATCTCCCATTCCGTTATTTGTGCCCGTGTCTGAATACCTACGGCAGGGCAGGTGCAATCTGTGACTGATCAAGCTGATCTAGTCCAAAGTCATGGATGCTGGTTCTCCACAGCCAAAGGGAGCCAAACAAAACCTCGCTCCAAGTTAATATGGTTTACTGATTAGAAAAGAGAGAATTGCACTGGATTCACAAGTTACAGATTTACCAGTTAAACAAAACTGTAAATTGTTAAGTACATTATACAACCAGTGTTACTAAATATTATGCACTTAAAATAACAAAATAATGCTAATGATTGTATAGCCATACAGGGGTGTGTGTGTGTGTGTATATGTACATAAACATACATACACACACGTACATATGTATTTATATAGACATACATGCATACACATATAATGTATACATCTCCATGCACACATTTCCACAGATATGCATTGAGTGTGTGTAAGATATATTTATGTGTGTGTATATGTATATAATTGTGTATAATATATGTGTGTGCATGAATGACAACAGATCAATTAAATGCATATGGGATCCTACTTACTAGAATGATATTGAAATAGAGAAGCTGCATCTCTTTCATTCCCTGAGCAGCCTTCTTCCCAGATGTTTGGGTTTGTGCTATAAATAAACAAAAAGGTGGAAAGGAGAAGTTAATGACTCTGACTGAAAAATGCACAGTTGCATACATGGAGTATATTAGGGTCCATATCAAAAATTTATGTTTTGCAATGTTATGTTCTCCAGCCTTTGAACCTCATATTTTTACAAAGTCCAGGATACCACAGAAGGCAAAGAAGAGTAGGAACTTCATTTCATTCAGGGAAACTAGGTCAGGATCCAAGCAATTTCACACTGACATTGTAAAGAGGAATTACACATTTCCTGTTAGTAAAATTCAGTGGCAATTCAAAATATACTGCCTATTCCCTTTATTCACATAAGCAAATAACTTGATTGTGAACAGTAACATAACTCTATCATTAAAGCCCTCTGGCAGGAAAGCCCTAACTACAATTTCTCTGAATTCACTGAAGATAACCCCAACATTTAATGCAAAAATGTTAAATGTCTTATGTTGTAATAACAAATGAGCAATTTATAAAAAATACCTGTACTTGTCCTGGTTTTAGAAATCTCAGATCACAATGCATGCATTTCTGAAAATGTTAGGCTAAGGAAGCTGTCAGTTCCTCTAAATTTACTCTAAAAACCAGAAGCCATGAGTGAAAGTGTACCCTTATAAAACATATTTCTCCACCATGCTATGCTGCTATAGAAATAAGTAACAGAGCCACCTTAAAGAATGGATTACTGTGAGGCTCCATGAAATGAGCTGCAGCATGTGGGACGGAAGTGAAGGAAGAGAGCAGCAGAGTTTTCTGCAGACCAAATTCTCTTCCATTGGGACCAGGGGGAAATGTAAGCATATACCAACTCTGGGACTGATGTAGACTTTGCATCAGTTTGAAGGCTTCTTAGTGTACTGAGGAGACCAAGGATCCAACTTCTTCAAACCTGCTTCCACTGAATCCACTCCACTCTTCTTTTTCAGCATTTCTAAACCTGGAGTTTCTCATCTTTGGAATAAGCCAAAGCTGGAGGTGTTAGTGGGAGGGAGAGAAGTAGGAGGAAGCAGGAGGAGATTCCTGATCCCAGATTTCCTGCACTGAATAAGATTTTATACTTCTGTTAATTGAATGGATCCAAATGTAGACATATTAAGAGTAGATACAAAAACATCAGTTGGACTTTAAGAAATGGTGACAGTCATTAGCTGGGAAGAAGAAGAATCACAGCCTACACACACTGACAAAAAGATTGAGTGTTGGCCAAAAACAAAGAGTGTAGTGACTCATCTTGACCTTGAAACAGCTATTCCAAGGATGTTAAATATACAACAAATTTATCCATTTGAACAGCTGCTGCCATTAGAATGGAAGAACTGGGCAAAATATGTTGCGGTTTTGACTAAGGGTTATATGAAGCTGCAGTTTGTATTATTTTTCCACAGCTTTATTTCATCCACCAGCTTCCTACTGATAAACACATACTTTTCACCATAAAGTCACTCTCCCTGTTCTTCCTGATGTATGTCGCCAGCTGGTGAATAGTTCAAGGGAAGGTTCTGGAACATGCTTAATCCACACTGTTAAGAACAACAGCCTGAGTGGCCATTACTACCTATGAAAAACAAGTAATGATAACTGAACTAGAAGTTCTTCTGTTTCTCTACCATTCTTTAGAAAAATGTGTTTTTACCATTTTTTTATAACAATACAGTATTTTTTATTTATTGCATCCATTTATATCTCACCTAGCTGTATCGCCATAGCACATTCTACGAAGGAGGATGGACTGAGAGTTACTGGCTCCAAATAAGCAAGTTAACTCCATAATTAAACAGGACTTTAGACTGGATACAGATCTAACATTTTAACTATTACCACTACACTGGTTCCTACATGAGTCAATCATTTATTGATTAAAAAAAACCCTCTTTCTTCACATTTTACCCAATGTGGTGGACATGTAAAAAGGCTCAAAAGATATACATCAAAACATCCAGAAAATTGTGAAAATAAAATCTGAATTGAAATCACAAATATTTTTGTGAGGCATGATCTCAGGCATGATGACAAATGAAAAGCATCATAACCTATTAAGATATATACTGACAGTGAAAAGAATCAATCTGCAACAATATTGGAAAAGTTGGAAAACCTTGCTGACAACACAAGATAAAAGACCGAAATTGGAGAACATGTGGCAATGGAAAAATTAACTATATATATTTATAATAAAACCCTAACCAAATTCAAGCAGGAATGGCTCCCTTATATACAACATATCACACAGGCCAATATGTTTTTTTGAAGAAAAAGGAAAACTGTTTAAAAATAATTAAAACAATTTAAACAGAAATGAGTAATAATTGCAGAAGTTTACAGCATAGTATAAAAAGAAAAGATAGGAAGAAAAAAAACAAGAACAAAAGAGGGGGGTCTGCTTGAATGTTTTTTCTTATGGACACATTTTCTGTTTTTTAAATTTTTATTTAAATTTGTTTTTTTAATCAGTATATTAAATTTCACCTTTTGAATCCTCACTTCAACCATCACTTCAATGTAAAGGTTAAGCCACAGCAATAATCATATTCATTTTTTTTTTATAAAGGTAAAGAACAACACAGAAGAGTTACAGATTAAACCGCTATGTGTGTCATTATATGTATGTATTCTATTTCTTCCCCCTTTATTTCTTCATTTGTTCTGTTTTTACTGTTGCTTTTTCTTTAATTAATAAAAATGAAAATTATATATTTTTTAAAAATCTTGCTTTGACTTTAAAAGTTGTATGCGTTCAGTCCATTTAATGTTTCACAAGCAGGAGTGACTAATGTTCAGGAGCTAAGATCAGCTTGAAAAGGTAGGGGAGAAAAACTTTGTCACCAATTCTCTCTTTCAGCAGCAACCTTCAGCATCAGCTATGAGACTGTTTTGGGGATCATTCCCCACAGCTTTGGAGAACATCTTCATCTCGTCCTTCAGTGAGAGAGAGTCATGGTGGTTTGGGATTCTCCACGAGGATAGTCTGCATTCAACCCTTCATATTCTTGCTTTGTATGTTAAAGAATATATATATATATATATATATATATATATATATATA